GGCTAACTCCTTGACCACCATATAGTTCAGTTGAATCATATCGTTATTCTAGTTTCAATCGTCTAGTTTAGATTCTAGTTTCGTCACTCTAGTTAGCAATCTCCCACGATACTTTGCCATGAGGTTCCACGTTAAGGAAACATTTTCGTCATACATTCGAGAGTTCGTGTTTCCTCACAAATCACATGATTTCGTGACGAAATGTATCTCAAGGATTGACGAATCGTCAAAAAATAAATATTTATTACTGAGAATGATGGTTTGAGTTTTATTTGAGTGTAGGTGTAACAATTGCAATTTTAAACAATTTGATACCTGTTATTACAAAAGTGTTGCTGTAAAATATACTAGGTGCAGAGGAATCATAAAGTAGCAGCTCAGTTAAAGTCGGGCTCTGCATGGATAAACTTCATGTTTCTTTTACAAGTAATGCATGCTTTATCAATAGTCTCTAATTTGTGGAGGAATGTAACAATATTGTCAGAGTTTGCTGTCTTAGCGATCGGAAAAACATTAATAAAAAGAAACACTGAAATGAAAAGTTAATAAACACTAAGAATTGCACTGAAAAAAAAATAGGATCAAACATACCGGAATATAGTAAAATTTACCTTGCTTTATGTCTTGAGAGCATTGAAAAGTATAGTAATTTTTACCTAAGCACTTCGGTAATGACTTTCAGTAAAATTAACAGCCAAATATCTCCCGCAGTTTGCTGATCGTTAAGACGCGGTTCCCAGCAGATCATCGAAGTCAGGCATCACTGGCTGCGGTCAGTGGGTTGGTGGGTGATCACTTAGATCAGTCTGCGCAGGAACCAAGGGTGTGCGGTATTGGTCCTCGTCAAACTGTTCTACCGTGACGTGCTCGACTTTGAGTGCAGGTCATCGGGCTACCGAAGTGGAGGTGCCATCCCCTCTGCAGTGGATCAAATTTGTGATGGCATGTCTTCAGATCATCCTTAGGGATATTTCCCAGATCGTCGCCAATGGCCCATTGTGTAGCTCTAGTGCGACGTAAATAAACTACACCACCAACAACAACAACAGTAAAATATAGTTTTATTGTCATACTCTTTGGTAGTAAATGTGCTAAAACTTGGGTAATTTTAGCAAGAAATTTAATAGTTTTAACAGAACTAGTATAAGAGATTTCGCAATTAAGTTTGATAAGCACTATTTCTTTTATAAAATGCTCCTTTAACGATCAGTTGTTCATATTTCTATAAAAGCTAACAGCTACCAACTCTTAAGAGTATAAAAAATGCGTACATATTAATATACAAATGCCTAGACAAGACAGAACGATATCAGCATATTAAATAATATTAGGCCATCCCAGCATCCTTAAATGGGAGAGTGGTGGTAGCGAGTACGAATACTTCAGCAACTATTGTTGCATTTATTTATTTATTAGTTTATTTATATTATTTATTCATATTATTTATTTATATTATTTATTTATATTTTTAATTCATATTATTTATTTATATTATTTATTTATTATTGCACATGCACATGCAAGTTTGTGTTCATATTGCAAAGTATGGTTTATGAGCCTTTGTCAATTCGGAGAACAGATCGGGAAAGATGGAAATGAACATAAATATATCCAGGAATGTGGCAGTTTTCGAACAAGCTACCTTCGCGTTACAATAACTCTTCTCTAACTTGCGCTATCTGTTCTTCAACTTCATAAGCACTCAAAGCTGGATAAGTATGCGTAATAATAAATAGATAAGTAAATACTTTGAATAGTAATGTTCTTTTTTTATTATTCATTTTGTGGTTGCCTATCTGGCCATGTAGTCTCACCTCTCCGCCAAATGCTATGTAAAATGGAGGTAGCGGGTTCGATTCCCAACGTAACCATGAATGTGTAACAACGAATAAATAAATTTGGTTTGGATACACATACAGCTTGTGTGCTTTATACAAATAATGTCTAGTCTCGTGTTAAATTAAAGAACAGATAGAACAAAAAGAGAAAGACGATGCAAAGATATAGAACCCTTTACGCTTTAGAGTATTTGTTGAAATGACAATTTCTCTCGGTAACGGTGGTTCAAATAATGTAGGGTTGTTTTCCTTGCAGTAAATACTAGGGTCTTCCTATTCTGCTAACCTCAGCAAAACGTGTATGTAGTGGGATCGAATCCAGTTAATAGCTACTAATTCTCAAACGAATGCTGTCTGTCTTTCAATTTGAAAAGGGTATTTAAATAATTATTTGTATTTACAAAGAAACCAACTTATGTATGTGAATAAATAAATTGCATAAAATAGACATATAATGGACTTATTAGCTGGATAATAAATTGTAGATGTATAATATAAATACATTAGTTATATCTATTCGAGTTTAGTATCTTTATAAAATTTGAAATTATCATTTAGGCTAATTTTGCTTAAAAATATATAAGAGAAAATAAATGATTAACAGTCACTTAACTCCTATGAACCATTAAAAAAAATCACATATTTAAATAAATTAAAGAAATGTAAACATAATATATAAAATCTAGTACCATTCCCTTTGGTAAAAGGCAGAGACATCAAATGATTAAAAATACCTAATGAATAGTAAAATAAAAGCATACCGCTGAAGAACCTTTTGGTAATTTTATCGTGATACCGTAAAACACGTTTAAATAGATAAGATTACAGAATGAATGGTTAAAACATCCAGCATTTTAAATTAATTACCTAAATTATTTTCTTTTTGTAATAGCCTGGTCGGTAGGGCGCTGGGCCCATGTCCGAGAGTCCGTGGGTTAAAACCCCATCGACCGAAGATTCCCCGTGTAATAAAGTGACCGATGCACGTTAAATCTGTCGAGTCGCAAAAGTTCTCCATGTTTCCATAACAAATCAATACCTCTGGTGGTACTGGATTGGAGATTCAGGTCAATCTCCAACCAAGGTCAATTCGTTCTCAGATTCAGGTCAAAATTACGATCTGTGGATGAATGAATGGATGTATGAATGGATCCGCCCTATAAACGGGTACGACGTATGGTGTGGCAGAAGTCGAATCTTTAGGCCATACATGACGCCACTGAAAAACAAGAAACGCACACTCTGCCTAACATTCGCTCGGTTTCACCAAACAGGCTTGACCGTGTGGCATTGGAAACAACAACAACAGCATTATTCTTTTTTGCCTGAAATGTTTTTACTATACATAAATGCTAACTCTGCCACTATTATTTTCTCTGATTGCGTCGGTATATTTATTTGTAGTTAATCAACCCATGAAAAAATATGGAAAGTAAATCTACAACATGGATTGACAGTTTATTAAGCAAGACAAAACTCTGAACACGGGCAAAAATGAGCTGAGTGAATCAACAGTTTCACTATAGAGAAAGGCTCTGGAAGGAAAAATAAGTTGTTCGCTGTAGATGCGAAGAAAAAACAAAGCTTTAGAGAGGAAGAAACCTCTTTATGGATATACCATGTATATCGATAGTTCATGGAAAACAGAAACATAAATGAATAATATTTCTATTTTTAATTCATTTGAAAAAATAATTAAAAACGAGAAGAAAAAAAAACTCTGGACGTGCACCTTATTTATCACTAGCGGTTCACTCTCAGAAGTAAAAATCATACCTTTCAATTCTGCAATTTTTGAGCTGTATTTCATTAATTTTGAAAATAATTTTGTCAAAAAATTTCGTCATTTGTAATGAAACGCTAACGCTCAAATATATGTCGAAAATGTTTCCTCATCTGGAAACCTCATTGTAGTGCATTGTGGGAGATTATTAAATAGAATGACAAAACTACAATGAAGACAAGATAATCGAATATAAAGTGACAAAATAGCCAATCAGCCTGTATGATGATCACAGCCCTTTATGGTGCTCTCGTACCTGAGATTCAATCCCGCTTCGGGTATAATTAATTTATCTCTCTTTGTGTTGTTGGGAGGGGGAGATTGTACCACCTATATAGTGCCCACGATAAAGTGATTATTATAAGAGTTAATACAGTAAGTACTACGATTTTTTTTTTTTTTTTTTTGAGAAAAAATAGAATAACGAAATATTTCTTTTATTTTGACGAAGTTCGTTTCTTGTGAAGATAGTTATTTTTTCACTCTGTCGAAGTGTTTGCTCTCAGCATGTTCCAGGAAGCGGTTTCGTCAAAATCGTAGAAAACTTCGTGATATTCGAATGACCATTTTTTACTGCCTTCATGAATGAAAAAAAAAGATAAAGAAGTTCTGGAGAGAAACATAAATACACTGCGCACATCGATAGTTTATCCAGAAAAAAATATAAGGAGAAAAAATGAAAACTGGAAAGAAGAGCATAATTGCATTACTAGTTTAGAAGTTAGAAGGGCATAAAAAATGCATTACTAGTACTTGGATGAGAAAAAAATTGGAGAGGAGCATAGATACACTGCATATATCGGTAGGTCATGGTTGAAAAAATAGGGATTAATAATATATAATTATAATGATAACAATACTAATAAATAAAAGTAATAATAAAATATAATAATAATGATAATAATAATAATAATAATAATAATAAATAATAATAATAATAATGATAATAATAATAATAGTAATAAATGGAAATAATAATAATATATAATAATAATGATAATAATAATAACATATAATAATTAATAATAATAACAAATTATGATAATCTTAATAATAAATTAGAAAATAATAAAGGGCGCATTTTCATTGAAATTATTTAAATATTAAGAATGATACGAAAGATAAATGACAACACTGAAATCAGGTAAATAAACTAAAATTTAATTAATGTCTTTATACTTAGATTAAGTATAATTATTGCTCTCCAACAAAGGGAGTGTTAGTTTTAAAGTAAAAAAAGCTTCCAAAATTCGAATAATTTAAATTATTAATCAATAAATCTCTTAAATCCGGTTGTTTGAAATAATATTTATTTGCTAATCTCACGAGATATTCTGAAGCAAATGACTTACAATAATTTTAAAATAAAACAAAACACGTAAAAACTTCAATACTTTATTATCAATTCATGTTTTACTAAGGAAAGTAATTTTAAGAAAAAAACAAATCAGACAGGAATGTTCTATCTACACAATTTCAGTTTACATAATATTTCACAAAGTGCGTTTTGGCAAAAATCTGTCCATTTTTCACATTTAAAAATCTTGAAAGAGGAAATTGTAAGTTTTTTTTATTCATATAAGATCACAAGAAAACTTGGAATGTTTCAAATTAAATTCACTTTCAATCTACACAAAATAACAAGTTTCTTCAAAAACAATTGATGACGTATGTTTTCTTTCCGTGAAACCATTTTTAGCTGTCATTTGTCCTGAAACTCATATTATATCACCCATACCTGAAATAAAGAAAGAAAAAAGGTAAACAATTTTGAATATACTTAGATTAAAGAACAAATAACATTACGAACGTTATATAAAACAAAAAATAATATAAATTGTATTTACACAAGCGAGATCTATAGTTTTTTTACTCCATTTTATTAATTTAATGTCGTTTTCATATTAAGTTTGATTTGGTTGCGCAATTAAATAAATGATGAACCAAGTACGGTTAGGAAATTGATTCTTGATTCATCAAATCTCTTTTTTCTGAATTCATTGCAATTCGAAATAACGAGGGACCAACTACATAGTAAATACTCAACTAAAAGTTTTCAACTCATAACTGTAACACGAAATTTTTTAATTTTGAATTATGAATAAATTTTTCATGATCTGGTCATTTAACTATAACTTTGAAATGTCGCTACTATGCAAATCAAAACTAATCTAGTGTTATCAACTCTTAAATTAAGATGAAACAGCATTTAAAATACTTAAAGTAAAAAAAGCAAGTGTTTAGAAGTTACCTAGTTATTTAGAGCAAGACTCACAAAATGTTGTTGCTAACCTAGTGCTAAAATTGGCCAAAGCTTTAAAATAGATAAAATAATATTAAAATATTATTATCATTATTTTCTTTAAAAAAATAGGTGTTTTAAAGTTATTTTATTATTTTGTACAAGACTAATAATATGTTGTTGTAAATTTGATACATATCAGATGTTAAATGTTTCTTAATGTAATTTGGTTAATTGGGCTAATTGTAGTTCCGAAATTAGAGCTCCCGTTTCTGATCCGAAGGCATTTACTGATTGATCAAGTAGTACAAACTTCAAAACTGACGGAAATAATACCCAATGATATATATTTTCGGTGTTAGAGTACCCTCTTCTGATTCTAGCTCAAATATAGGCTGATTCATATGCGGTTTTCAAGTAGTACAGACTTCAATACTGATGGAGATCTTGCCCAATAATAAACAGCTTCAGAATTAGAGTATCCGTTTCTGATCAAAGTTGAAATATAGGAGTTTGCTATTTGATTAATACGCTATTTTCAAGTGGTACAGAATTCAATACTGACGGAAAATACTACCCAATACTATACAGATTATATGATTGAGTCATTTTGTGATGTAAATGAAAATTAGTTTTGAACAAAATTTTTCTACAAAGGTGATATTGCTTCAATTTTTAACTTCTCTTCCTTCTCTTACTTTCTCTTCTATAGCTGGTGAGTTCAATTTCTTCTGATTAGAGTTGAAAAGGCAGAGTTAAACGTGAAGAGCTGTGCATCCAATATGTGGTTAGATAACACAGTAACGATGATAAAAAGTCTAAATATGGTATGATAAAATTTTATTTTGATATCGTTTACTAATTACAAAATTAAATTGAAACATCTTATTTTTAGTAACTCCTAAAAATAGATATTTATTTAAATTGAATAAGAGAAATTACTTTCAGACTTTCACGTAGAATAAAGTCACTATTGATGTGTTTAATGGCGAACTTCCAACCATTATTTATTTTTACTTACGCTGAAATAGGCAATAAAACAACAAATTCTTGAGAAAGTTATATAAAAAGTATGTAACCGCTTTTCCACAAAATTCCAGTCTAACATTTTGTTTCTCTCAAATAGAAACATTCTCTGCCTACAGAACATGTTCAGTCATGTTTTTTTTTCTCTTAAGGCGCCAACAGTTATTAATGACTGTTTTTTGGGTTGGTTCCAGAGTGTCTATGTGTAATGCTTTACTGAAGAGAAGTTTTTCGTTGTACAAAGTTCTTTTGTTGGATATTTTATACAGCTTTATTATTTTACAACCATCAATAATTACCAAGTCACCTTTTCTTAAAACCTCTCAGGAATTTTCGTTAATTAATACATAATATGTATGGAGATTATTAAAGGTGATGAAAAATATAATGTGAAAACGTTTTTAAAGACTGATTTTATCGTGTGAAGATTAATCACAGAGATTAATTTTTGCAAAAATAACAAACCAGCTAAACTTTCGAAACTTTAATATGATGGTATGAAATTCTAAAATTGATTTTTTGAATAACGCAAAACAACGTGAAAAAACAAACATTATACCGCCTAAACAGATATACTGTGGTATCGGTTCTGTAAAGAAGAATTATCATCAGTGTCCAAATACGGAATGATTCTGGGTTTCATGCACGATGTAAAGTCAAAATTTTTGATGGTTTTCCATTGATGGACCAACATAATCTTGATGGTAACCATCAATGTTTCAATCATGAACCATACTATTTTTGATGGTAACCAACGTAAGTTACCATCACCCCAATGTAGGAATTCTAACTGATTTATGATTGGCCAACATAAAAGAAAACCAAATTGTTTTGATGGTATATTCCTGAGAACCAGCAAGAATTCCCATTAAACCATTATGGGAATGTATAGTTGGAACCATCACGGATTATTGGTCAAATGAGAATCACAAAATTCTCTTGATGGTTAACCGTCATAGTATTAAAGAAGCATTTTCCATCACGGAATGATGGAAGTCTACTGGCATATCAAAAACTATGAATGCATAAAGGAAAATGTTGGATGATGGTGACCACCAAATGATGTTAAACCATCATGAATCGCATTGAAACCAACATAAACCATCAAAATGATTTGATGAAACCACCAAGAATTTTGACTTCGGTAGACAGGGATGAAGGTTCTTTATTACAGAATCTAAGCGATAAGTATAATATTATTAGTGATTTTTACTAGTTATTTAGCTTTATTAATGTATAGTACAAATTTCACTCATTCTTTATTAGGATTTATTTTTTCATTCATAATATTTAAATATGTTCCTTAAGTAAATACGGATTCAGTCATCTTAAAGTAGATTAGTGATTATTCTACATTTATTTTGCCTCTTTTATTTTTATTTCCAATTTATTTTTTGAAATCTTTTTATTTCCTTAAACTAAAAACATAATAATGTTTGTGTATGGTACAGCATAGTCGTTTCAAACATTTACGGTACTAAAATCAACATTTAATCTCAACCTTATAACTATTTTGTTATTGTTTTTGAGTATTCTAAAAAACTGGAAACTTTTTTTTTCAAGTTAAGATTTATTAGCTTTTTAAAACTGAAAAAGGAAGGTATATTATTGAACACAGCAACGCACTGAAAAAAGTTACAGTATGAAATACCGGCACTTAGGGTACATCATACGTTAAATCGTTTTTACCGTAAAATACTAAGCAAAAATTTTACAACAATATTTATTTAATTAGAGTGTTTTATGGTAATTATTACTGAAAATATTACGGTATATAAGTTTTTTTTGTTGGTAAAAATGGATTTTAAAGTAAGAAGTATTGGCATTTACAGTGCTGATACTTTTTACCGGAATTTGTTCCGGAATTTTTCACAGTGCATGTACACTGTAATTAAAAATATAATTTGGAGTATTTAGTGACAAAAATTATGATAATATTTGAGAATAGTGAATTGAGAAATGTAGAAAAGTTAGGAAATGTGAAGTAATTTCGAAAATAATATTCATATTTATACAGTTTTAGCTGCATTGATGACGACTGGAAAGTATTTTTTTATAGGAATACTATATCCACAGTGAAAGATATGAATCGTTTTGGAACGATACCCAAAGCACCTATAGCGTTGGAACTAAAGGTTTAGTAAGTGAAAACAATAAGGGTATTCGATAAGAAGCGACAGTAAAGCAAAACGTTTTATTGTTTTTCACAACTGCAAAGCGTTATAGGTATGATAGTAAGAGAAGTAGTGAGAGAATTCTTGAATAAACCAATAAAATGGCTTTCTTCCCTGCGATTCCCCAACGTTATTGTTTACACTTTTCTCTCTTTTCTGTTTAGTACCAACGTGTTATAGGGCACTGGTGCCGTTTTAATTCTATCTATCGTTATTCACTGTTTTTAATAAATGGCATTTTCGAAAGTTTCACTGCAACCTTGTTTGCAAGAATTGGACGATTGTATGTTTACATTATTTTCGAACATTTTTCATAGAAATAATTTTAAATTTTTTTCCCCAATCGTAAAAGTCATCTTTAAAAAAATGCAATCGTCAAAGTGTCTGCTTGCTAAATTGCAAACATTTTACGAACGTATTATTGCAATTGATTACTTCAATGTTTTGACTTAGAATTAAATTGACCCCAAATATTCAAATTAAAAGCTAGATGTATCTTTTATGATTGTCTCCGTATTTTTTCATATTAAATTCCTCCAGTCGTACAATTAAATAAATACATAAAGACAGTTACGTAAATTAAAATGTTTTGCAGAAACATATTTACCATTGTGTAAAAATATTATATTAAATTTTGTTAAAAGAAATATTTTATTATAGTTGCTAGAAAAATCATTGCTCATTTCAGAAACAAGAATATATGTTGAAATTTATTTAAAATATTTTGACACATAAGTAAATAATATCTTAAAGATCTTAACTACAGTTATAAATAGTTTTTATTGTATTTTTATACACTAATCACATGCATTTGATGAATAAATAAATTTGTTTATGAAACTCTATTTATCAATCAGTAAAATAAATCTAATTTCAGGAACGATGCATGTATTTTAACAAAACGCTAATTATTTGATAAGTTATGATATCTCAAATATTTTGACTGCAATTGTATTTTACAGTTTTATATTTCATGCTACTCGTTTGTATTTAATTAATAAATAGAATTGATTATAAAACATAAATTATAAATCAGGTAAATTAATTCAATTTCATTAATATAACTAGAAATCTGTTTTAATTATTAAATACCATAAACTATTTAAATTTTTCACTAACCTTCATAATGTTTATCAAATCCTTTCTTGTTATTTCCTTCATTCTTCATTAAAACTCTTGCTTCGTTCAAATTTACAGAGCACTTCTCATTAAATTTCTTTAGGTTTCTATTTTTGAAGGATATTTATTTACATTTATTATTTACATTTATCTCTCAAATTCCAGGAGATATTTTTATTCAAATCAATATACTTCTTCAAACAAAAGTTCGTGAATATTTTCAACAACCAAATATTGCCTGAAGTAAATAACTTCTCGAGAAAAATTTGGATTGTTTAATGAATCTGGATTGATAGAATTTGGAATTATATTTAGCTCTTTGTAGAAATAACTTCAATATTGATAAAGTTGTTGATTTCAACTAAAAGAGGGTTGTATAACAATGATGTATTTTCTTCATCAGATATATAAATTAATGATTTTTCTCATAAACTAATCAATAAGTCCTTGAATCTAAAGTTAAAATTCGATAGAAAATAAATCTTCCTCAACTGAAGTAGTCCCTGACATATATGAAATTACATTGATATTAAATTGTTTCCATGACCAAAAGCTTTTAATTATATTTTCTTTTTAAATAATTACATTTTTATGATAGTAAATTTATTCAATTCACATTCCCTGATTTTGACGCTGTTAACATTTATTTTGAGCAATAAAAATAAGTAACAAATCATGATACAATAAAAATCACTGTTAATATTATGTTTTTTAGTTCAAAATTACACAGCACTTTAAAATATGTTTAACTATTAGCATGTCTTTAATTGAAAATATGTTGTTGAAAATATACAATTAAAAACATATTAAAATAATTTAATATGCAATGCTTGTAAACTATCTAAATAAATATGAGTTTAATTAAAATTTAATATAAACTTTCAGTGATTGGTAGTCACATATTGCTTTTTGTCTCTACAGATATGTTTTTCCGGTTTTCAAAGAATTCTTAATTTAAATTAAAAAATCAAAAAATATAATAACTGAAATAAGTGAATTGAAATATATTGCTGTATGATTTTTAGTTTTTCTGTTGGATGCGCTTAAAAAATTCTTTTGTTCCCCAAGTTTCATTTAATAAACTCTTCTGAAAAAAAGAACGCTCTCAGGCTTCGTACACTTCGAAGAAAAAGTGTTTTCAAGCGTACAAAATGAATAATATCTCACTTTTTCGGATAGTTGAATTATGAGAACGCTATGCAAAAATCACAAAGTGGTACTGCTACTTAAAGAGTTCAGAAAGTATTTGCTGCCGTTATGATTGGCAAAATACAAGAATACTTGTAAGGAAGTACCGACTTATTAAAAGAAACTTTCACGTGGTCATGAATAAACTCCTTCAGAAGACTGGATTGAAAAATGCCTGTAAGAGATATACTCTTGCGGAACATCATTCTTTACAGGTCTTCGGCGTCGGCGCCTAAACTTCAAAGCTGTCAACAAGATAGACAACGTAAGGACCAAAGCAGCACTGATGCTACTTCCCAAAATGATGCCAAGCGTGGACAATGTAATTTTAGTTTTGTCTGTCTTAGCTAATGTCCTTATTTGTAGGCACTTTCTGTTATTGGCTGTGACTTCAGTAGTCCTCTCGTTTTCTGTAACATAAGGAGTTGGTTTGTTGCCAAACATACGAAGGTATTTTCCTGTAGCGGTTACACACACCGTGTACCAAGTTTCGGGTACAAGGTTTTCAAGGTCATGACTTCTCGCAGTTGCCTGAAGGTTGGCCAATACAACAGGTGACCTCGAGGTTGTGATATGATAAGTTACTGTGAATCCACCAATGAGAGTGCCGTTCTGCACCTCCCAAGCAATCGTGAAATGATTGGAGTCCAATCGTTGAACTTCCAAGTCAGATACAAGAGGGGATGGGCAAATATCAGATGGATGAAGAGCAAGGATGGAATGATCACGTAGTTTCTCCGGGTGAACACAATTCAATGGAACCTCCTCTTGCTGAAGAAATCTGCCATGTTCTTGAAGCCATTCCCAAAGACTTAGCATGAGACAATCACAATATATCGGGTTGCCTGAAAATAGACAGAGACAGAGTATTAAATCCATAGAGAACGTGATAAGATATTCTTATATTCATAACTTACTTAGTGAAAGGACACATTTTAAAGCAATAAAACTTCTGGTGTTTAAAAGGGATGGAACATTGAATTATAATGTTAAATTTTTAGATATGGTTTCTCTTAAAAGATATAAAGAATTTTTCAGAAACAAAAGTGACGACGCTAACTGCGTTTTATGTTATTTACAGATTGTGGTCATCTATTCATGACAATAATCAAACATGGGTTCGCAAATCTGAAATACGACTTTTAATATGTCTTTTACAAAACTGCTGTCACCTAATTGGTAGAGGGTTTGATAAGCAAGGTCCACCTGGGGATAAATACAAGGCAATAACTATTGAATTACATTGAATGAAAAGTAAATCAAAACTGAGTTCAAGAATTTTATTCGAATTTCATAAAGGCCTGTTTACACGGTCCAAGTTCTTGAATCCGATAAATTGGAGGGATTTCTCTGTCCAAAAAATTGGATCATTCGTTGACACTATCCAAGTTCTTGAATGCCACTGATTCGTCAAAAGAAAAACTTGCGCATGCGCATTGTTCATATTCAGCATTATAAAATAATACTTATATAAGTTTAAAATTACTAAATAAATCCAAATAAAATCATAATAACACAAATAAACAGCAACAGATAAATTTATTTGCACTAAAATATATGAAAACAGACAACAAAATGACATAATTTGCTGCTTGCTTGCTGACGTCACAAAACCTAAGACGCTGATTGGTTAAGGGAGAAAAAACTTGGATGGAAAATAGAACAAGCTCTACTATCGTCCAAGAAGTTGGACCAAGTTCTTGGATGATTGTTTACACGANATTAAATTTCATTTGATTCTGATGATTCTTTCATGGTGTTGCATTTTCTACAAACAGCAGTTTATATCATAATGACTTAATGATTATCCCTGTATAAAATTTCTATAGCAATGCAGTGAAAATAAATGCGAAAATGATAAAAATTGATACTTTTGATGAAAATGACAAGAATCTTGAACGATATGTTTATGGGCATTTAAATATATAAACTAAGAGATTTTAAATATAAAAATTTTTTAGACTTCTGAAGTAGAAAATAATGTTGCTGCCCAACTGTTTATTTTTTTCCACAAATGTAAACTATACCTGATTACTGAAAATAAACTAGTATTCTTATAATTATTTCTTTTATCTGTAAATACTATGAAATAAAATGCATGTAAGTAAAGTATCAAAAAAAAATAATAATGTCCTAAACCATCCATAAACTTATAAAGAAATTAGTTAATTAAAATAAAAGTATAAGTACTACAAAGTTGCAATTTTTAACAATTACCATCGAAAATTAGAATCATTCTGTGATATATAGCTAATAGAAAAAAAATCTGGATCGAGCTCAAAAAACGAATGGTATTTTTCAGTTCAGATTTCTTTATTTTTTATTTCGTAAGATTAAAAAAAGTCATGAAAAAGTAATAATCATTTCTTTTTCTGTAATGACGAGAACATTAAGTAAATTACTATAATTACGGAACAGAAAGAGACTATATATTAATACATCATAAAAACTCGAAAAGTACATTATTTAACGATTCTGTTTGCGTTATATCTATTAATTTTCGAACGATGATAATAACATCGATTTATCATGTAAAGTACTGAAGTTTTTGTTATAACGATCTTTGTGTTTTTTTTAACCAAGTTTAAGTGAAAATGATGTGCATAATAAGAAGTTGAAACCCTACAGCAAAAAAAACCCTTGTATAATAATCAGCTTTTCTAACGTTATTGCTCAAGAGTTCCACTTTGGATATTATAATTAATTAGTGCTAATCATAAGTTAAGTGAGTGTTTAGATAAAAAATTGGATTACAACTTTAATAAGGTGTATAAATGAACCACATTTCCATTAAAGTTAAGCTAAAGTATCATGTAATCAAGTTTAAGAAATATTTATTTGTGCAACAATGTAATTCAACATTATGATTGCAGTAATATTGCACGCTTTAATACTAAATGTTTGACACGCTTTAAATTTTAAAATATATTTTAGCATTTCCGAAATATTTTACTGTCAGTTAAAACTGAAAAAGTGCTAACAACAATCATTTATGCTTCATCATCAATCATCATTGCTTTCATCAATACGCTAACAATGTTTGATTGCATATTTTATAATATATTTGGTAAAATTTTATAAAACGATGCATTTAATTATAATTTATTCTTAATAAATGTAAAAATATTCCTGAAATATATGAAGCTTAAACTCAGACAAATAAAGTTGAATCTAACCTGCTTAGCTTCAAAAGCGAAATTTAGAGAAGAATTTTCAGATCAATTGAAGTAAATAATACACATTGGAGAATCAGAAGCAATAGTGAACTTGATCAATTAATCAGGCAAAAAAAAAATCATAATTCGATTTTTTAAATTCAGACGTTTGGCATGACTGAGGCACATTGAAAGATAAAAGGATAATAGAAATCTAAAACAAATTTAAATTGGAAATCATAGAACTCAAGACCAAGAGGAGGGCCATAAAAAAGATGATTGGATGACACTTGAAGGGGAAAAATTGAAAGTTTAAAGCCTAAAGTAGAGAAGTTTGAAACGATATTGCTTGGGCGGCCAGGGCCCACAGCAGGCTGTAGTGCTGTATGTGTAATCAAGTATATGAATTATAAGACGTGATAGCTTAATTAGTGATTTTTCGCTTGTAATAGTTTACCAATTTCTTTTCTTTTTAGCACTATCAACATAGAATAAATGGATTAGAATGATTTAAAACAAAAAGGATAAAATAAACTATTTTTGATTCGACTGTTTTCCTAATGTTTAAATATACTTAAAAAGTATTATGATTGCGAAATTTTTTTATGAAAGTATGTAATAAATTAAGAATTATATGAAAAATTGACCCCTCCAATAACGATACATTCTTTTTTAATCATTGATTCAATCTGAATCTAGTCAGGACGTCAAAATTCATAATTTAGAAATCTGACTTTGAATTACTGTTTTTTTTTCCAACGAACTATTAAAGTGCTTACAAATGTTTGTTACTTTACTTTAACTCAAAAAAGTTTGATCTTTTATTTAATTTCATATGGAATATTTTATTCATTATCTGGTCAAAAGTATCCGGACAATCACCTAAAGTGGATCTGCTCATATAGTGGGGGCGTTTTTCATTTCGTCTGAGTCTCGTAATTCTTGTGGTTGGAAACATGAACTATGAGATGAATGTGGAAATTCTAGACAATGCTGCTCCTAGAAATTCATGGCAATGTTTCTGGGATGGTCTATTTCCCTCCCTGCAGGGTAACTGCTCCATTCTCATGTCGTGAATTGCTCTGCTATGGTTAGACGAAATGGGTATTCAAAAACTGGAAAATCTGATATGCCCTACAAATTCAAACACAAATAACATAGCCAGTGAAATCGACCATCCTCGCTGTGAACAATCACTTCAAATGTGATGGACCCCTGGATGTAAATTCCCATAACCATCCATCATATACTGGAGGAATATTTCCCCAGACATGTTCGGGCTGTCATCAATGCAAAAGAGGAACCAGCGCCTTATAATATATGCCTCAAGATTCACCGAGTTTCTACATTTGGATGTCCGGAAACGTTTAGCCAGATAGCGTGTAAGTTAAAATAATACAAGTAAATTCAGAATTACCTGAGAGCTTAAGCGTCGTCATTCGAACTTCAGCTGGAACTAACACACTACTACTTAAATGCTTGATCTGGTTATGGCTTATATCTAACTCAAGTAAGCTAGACAGATTGTCGAAAGCACTTGGGGATATCCAAGTCAGTTGGTTGGACCTCAAATTCAGATACTTGATGTTGTAGAGGCTGTCAAAGTTATTACCGTCTATTTTGATGAGTTTATTGTATGATAAGTCCAAACTTGTGAGATATTTCATTTCTTCCCGTATAGAGGGGAATTCCAAAAGGTGATTGTGTGTCAAATTCAGTGATTCTAATCTCATCAAGCCGAAAAACCTTTCTTCAGGTAAAATGTCTAACTCATTATATCCAAGATCCAGAAAAACTAACTGCGTAAGAGGCTTGAACGCACCTGGGGATACTTTAGCAATAACATTCTCGCGCAAAGTCAAGACAAGCAGGTCTGGAAACATTAAAAAGTCATGAGAAGCTATGACTGAAATATTGCTATTGCTGATGTTCAGGTGTTGTATTTTGTGGTGTGGATCTACTGAAGACATGTCCTCTCTGATGCGAAGACATTCATTATCATCAATTGATAGAAACTTTAAACTTGACAAAGGTGAAAATAGGACGGAGTTTGGAACAAAAGTAAATGAGTTCTTATCCAAATATAATTTTTCCAACTCAGATAAGGTTTCAAAAACACCTCCTGGGAGAGCTGTTAGGAAATTATTTGATAAATCTAAATCAACTAATTTTGTCAAATTGTGAAATGCTTTCTTTTCGATCAGATTTATACCGTTTCCAGATAAATTCAACTTCTTCAAATTAAAATTTTCACTGAATACCATATTTGGAACAATCTTAATTTTATTTCTAACAATCGATAACACTTCAAGTTTCGGTAACTTCCTAATAGCAGTCTTAGGTACTGATGGAAGCTCATTATTATTTAAGTAAAGTTCCTTCAAAGACACTAAATTAAAAAGCAAATTAGAATCAAGCTGCTTCATTCCATTTCCACTAAGATGTAAAGTATGCAGGTCAGTTAGAGATTCAAAGAGGTAACTGTGAACCTTATCGCTTCCAATATAATCCAAATTTAAATGCGTTAACCCGCTAAGACCTTGTAGTTCAATGCCATCCCTATCAGTTAAATTATTGTAACTTAAATCGAGACTCCTTAAGTTTGTTAGAAACGTTATTTTTACCATAATAAAACGATTATGAGATAAATCTAAGGATATAAGATTACTTAGGTGGCTAAATGTGTGATCTTCTATACTTTCGATCATAGCATTTGCAAGAGTCAATTCTTCTAATTGATTTGCATCTTCGAACATGTACTTACGAAGGACATAAATTTGATTTTGGGAAAGGTGCAAAATACGCAAATTCTTTAGACTTTGGAATGCCAATGGTTCAATGTCCATTATTTTATTGTGCGATAGATAAACTTCTTCTAAACTAATAGCACCTAAAAACATATTTGCATTTAAGTGATTCAAGTTGTTATGCTCCAAGTTTAAATAATTCAAACGCTTCATTTCAGAGAACGTGTTTTCTTCGATAATAGAAATGGAATTGTGGTCCAGGTAAAGTTTCTGTACTTCAGTAAGATCTTTGAAGGTTTCTTTTTGAAGTTTCTTAATTTTGTTACAATCTAACCACAAAATCTCCATTTTGTTTAAACCTGTAAGACTATTTTCATGTAATACAGCAATATCGTTGTGGTTTATTTGAAGAGACCTTAAGCTGGATGGGTATCTGCTTAGAATATCTCCCATTTCGATTAGTTTATTTCCCTGAATATTCAAGTGCTGCAAATTGGCTAGGCTTTGAAGAGCTTCTTTTTCAATAACTTCTACCCTGTTGAATTGAAGGTGCAATTCCTGTAGATTAGGTAGCGAGTAAAAGCTGCCTTTTCTAATTATCTTCAATAGATTGTTTTGCAGGCGGAGATCTCTTAGCTCAATCAGTTCTTGAAACGTTCCCGGTTGAATATCTGTTATTAAATTATTATCCATGGATAAAGATCGCAGTTCTCTGTTATTTTTAAACAGGAGTGAATGAATTTCTCTTAACTGGTTAAAAGATAACTGTAACTGGTAAAGATTTTGAAGTGATTGAAACGAGCCGAATTCAATTGATGTTATAGCATTATTGTGCAAGAAAAGAACAGATATTTGAGAACTGTTATACAAAGTGTCATTTGTTATTTTTAAAATATTGTTATTAGACAAAAAAACTTCCCTTAGCTGAGTCAAGTTGTGAAAAACACCACCTTCAATGGAATGTAAATGATTAAAACTCAGATCTATAGTTCTTAATTTGTGCAAGGGATTTAAAACCCTTGGATTGAGCATCACAATTCTGTTGTGACTCAGGTCTAGGTTCTCTAATTCTCTTACATGGATAAAAACTCTGTCATCTAAACTGACTAGTTGGTTCATTTGTAAAGAAAGAACTACTAATCTTGGCATGGTAACAAAACTTCTGTCGTGGAGCTCTTTCAGTTTATTGGAATTCATGTCAAGCGTTTCAAGATCGGTAAAACGCGTGAACCCGTCGTCAACAATGTCATTAATGGAATTTTTCACAAATTTTAAGGTTTTTAGTTTTTTCAAACGTCTAAGTGCGTTTAGAGGAAATCTAGATAGTTTGTTGTTAATGAGTATCAATTCTTGCAACGTATTTTCCAGTCCACCAAAAGCATATTCGGACAAAGTGTCAATCTGATTGCTCTGCAAATTTACAGTTGTCAAAGGCACACCGTAAAATGCGTAGCTGTCAACTTTTTGTATTTCATTGGAATCAAAATCGACAGACTTCAGAGCTTTAAGGTTGTTCAGTGCTTTCTGCGGAACTTCTTTTAGTCTGCTGTTTACAATGGATAAACTATCCAAAGTATCATCCAGTCCGGCAAAAGCATGTTCATCGATGCTTTCAAGATTAGTGTATGACATGAGCAAATGGGATATGGACGCGTTAGCGAAAACCTTCGGAGGAAGAATGGTGGTATTTTTATCCAGATGATAGATGCCAAGCGATTTGATGGGCACTTCTATGAGTGAGAGGGTAGTTCTTATTTGGGGAATACCTGTAGTTGGACATTCTAAAAAGAGTCCGTCTTCGAACTGGTAGCATGGGCACCACGGGCTTTCGTCCCACTTTGGGCAATCTTCCGCTTCTGGGGATAGTTGGGCGAGAGGTTTCAGGCTTGGAGCTGCTTTTATGAATAACGAACTTCGGTGGTCCAACAAAGCTGCAGCTAAGATCAGAATCCATAGCCGACCAAATAGCTGGCTGACCGAGCATTTCATTTCTCATCTCTTGACTTCTGAAAGATTAAATAAAATTGATGTGAATTTTTTGAAGATACTCTATAAATTAAGTTCTGTCAAAAATTATATTCAAAGTGGAAGAAAAATACATCAGTATTAAATTTTAACATAAATTAAATATTCAAAAGCTTCAAGAAAAAAAGATATCTATATGTAGTTAAAGATTTTACAACCCACTATGTCTTTTAAGATCCCTCCCTTTAATATACTATTTTACTTGCATTATGTTCTAAATCCTCAATCATAGTAAAAGATAACTGAAGTTGGTGTAAAAGTAGAGTGAGAAATATTTTATTGAGCAAATTTTTTAGAGTGCAAATTTTTTTCATTTTAATTACTTGAATATTTAAAATTTAACTTCAATATTTTTATAATTTTTGTATTGTCAATGTGGTTAAAAATTAAGATGTTCTATATTGGGGCAGACTGGTGCTCAAAATTACGAGACATTTAAAAGCTTTTCTTTATAGCGTCTCAGACATTTTATCTAGTGATAAAATCAGGAGATCGGGCTGGCTAATCCACTCGGCTAAAACATTCCCTTTCTAGAAAATCGTCGATAACATGAGCTGTATTTTATAGCATGTTGCGGTCCCATAAAATTAAATCAGTTCCTAATATATCCCTGAATGGGCAAACATGGGGATCAAAGGACACAACATTATACATTAGCCAAAAGTTTTCTTTCAAACGCATGGAGTGATGAGCAGCTGTTCAACATAAAATCCACCTCACCCATTAAACCACCGTTACCAAAATAGTCAACTCCAAGAACACTAGTGTTCAAATAGTGAATTCTGATTTAGAGCCGTGGTGGCTATGGGGATAGACTGTTCGTCTTCCAATAAGGTGAACCGGGTTCGAATCCCAGCGATGGCTGGTTGATATGAATTCCACACATGGCTCACACCGACGTAAAACATAACCTCAGTGGTAGACGGATCATGGATTAGACTCCCCTTGCCGTTAGGCTAACCGTGGGAGGTTTTCGTGGGTTTTCTCTCCATGTAACGCAAATGTGGGTTAGTTTCATTAAAAAATTCTCCACGAAGGTAAACTTCTCCCTATACTTGATACGGAATTTCTCTTTCCTTCTCGATTGAGTTTAAAATTATAGTTCAACATTAGTAGTCGTAAACCCCAAAAATTGGGTCGGCTGTTCAACTACGGCTATAAAATAAACTAAAAACCTCTGATTCAAATGGTTAATTTTTTCACTTGGAACAGAATCAGGAAACTTTGAAACCCTCGAAAATGTTTTACAAATTGTTTTTAGTGTTTGAAAGAGAAAGGAATTTCACGATCATATTAAAGAATTTTTTTTTTTTGCCTTTGTGTGGATTTTAAAGGGTTTTTGAAACTGGCAACTGGTTTTAACTGGAAACTTAACTATTGTAGTGGCAACTGGCGATGCATAATTCCCTTGAGAAACAACTTAAAAGTGATATAAAATTAATTTTTATTATTCTTTCTTATTTCTCCCTCTTCCAAAAAGAAGATGCTTCAATACTATTTCGTCTCGCATAAAAGCGAATTCGACACTTAGAAAATTAGATAATGAAAATTTGTATAATGTCAATCCATGTCTAAATTTGTAGTAACTCATAAGTTTCGATAAGAAAGAAGTGGAAAAAAAATGTCTGCCATTACTCACAGTGAACTGAAAGCTTTCTTTTCTTTGTTTTTCATATTTTGGCATTCAATTTTGATCGTTTTTAATTCTGAAATAAATTTTATTTCTAGCAAAGAAAAGGTATGGACAAAAAATGTCCATTAGCTTATTTAATGATCACAAAAAATGACCATTTTAGGTTTTTGATCTCGTATAAATTTTGCTTTTGATATTGAAATAGAAGAAATGACTATTCATAGAATTGGACTTACAAAGGTCACGTTTTTGCTTTCAAATGAGAAAAATATTGCAAACAGTCTTTACTAGCCTTTTTCCTGTTTATTTATGAGAAATAATTTTAATAATAGAAAATAGTTCTGATAAATCAAACGCATCTTAACAAATTTATTTTAAATTTAAATTTTTTGCTTCGCTTCGTAAACTAAATTCATATACAAAAAAGCAAACCGTCAGCCAAACCAGCCCCTTTTAAACAATTTGCGACTGGGTTTGAAATTATTTTCCCTAATATACAGTTACATTTCATTGCAAGTTATCATTGTTTAAATTTGTGGTTTGAATTGTGTAGCAATAAATTTTGCAATCTTTCGGTGGTGAAACGAAATTGTAAGCAAATTGTCAATTATTCTTCACTTTTTAACCTTTTGAGTTGTATAATACAAAATTTATGATCAATAATAATTTATTACATTATAATCTTTATTAAAAGGAACATTAAGCGCATTCCTTTGAATTTTCAACTGTCTAGTCTCTTCCATGTCTAGACTTAAAATTCGATTTACAATTTGAAAAATTAAAAAAAAACTAGTTCCAAAAAGTGATCTAGGCATCATCTTTTCTTGTAATTAGATTGTGGTAGGACTCAAAATGGAAAAAAAATATATGGAATTTAAAGCCATTTTTTAAGAATTTTTTAACAAATTATCTTAACTTTCGTTTTGAAACTCTTCAACGCACTGAATATAGTCTTTAATTTAAGTAATTGATTCTTGTCTGTGTAATTTAATGAAAATACCCTCATAAACGTGTGATAATTACGCATAACTGAATGTATTTTTCTTCTAAATATCATGTCTACAGAATGCGAAATTTAATGATTTAACTAGATAGTTAGATTTTGATTTTAAATAAAAAAATTACTTAAAGTAAGAATTTCTCTAAAGTAAGAATGTAATTTTGATTTAGTGATATTTTTAAAGTTTTGATATGTTAAAAAAGCATTTCAACTCAAATGCTTACATTAAGATTTAATTGGCATATGAGATAAGCAGTAGTATTTTTCTATAATGTAAAACATAAATAGTAATTGTTTATAATAAAACAATTGGCCTTAGACGTTTAGTAACAATTAGCGTAGCCATAATTTACAGTAACCTTTCCATTTTTTTAAAAAAAAATACCTATTCCTTTTCACTAGAAAGTAAGTAAAATATACCGAGTAATTTTGTTTACATGTGAATTATACTTTAGTATTAAGAAAACTGGTTGTTTTAAATTTATTTCATTTGAATAATAAATATTTATTTTGATTATCCAATGCGAGAGTAAAAAAAATGAGATCACGTAACTGTAAACTAAAAGTAAAGAGATTTCCAAACCGGTAGAAATTAGGGATAATTGGAAAAGCTATAATTTAATCTTTACGTACTTTATTTAATTATTTATTATCGTTTTGAATATCGAATCCATGGCTGGTTCAAATAGGAAAAGCAGCTTTGAATGTTAAGCGATGGAAGAGTCTTTACTAAGACGATTTTGAAGTTAACAATGTGTTTTGAGTCGAAGTTAACACTTTTGTCCTGTTAAGACAATATAAGAATACCCGTATTGATGATTTCATAAACATCAAGCCGTATAAAAACTGGAGTATTTATTACATATTAAAAATAAAGTATAGATATAATAAAAGGAATAGACAGTAAAACATACATTTTCTCGAAAATTGCTTACTTTTGTGGTATAGAGTTTTAAAAGGCGCATTTAATACCCTGCTGTTTAAATTTTGTATATTTATTTTAGGTTTTCAATATGATGTATTATTTTCAGTTAATTTTAAAACTAAGATTTTTATGTAGTGTATTGAAACATTTTCAGGCGTAATGCCATTTTATAACTGACACTCCTATCTTATTTTGTAATCTACTATTAAAATAAATACAGTAAAATTTAAATTTAACGTCAGCAGTGTATAAGGAGTTTTTGCTTTTAACGTATTGTCAGCCTGGTCCCCTTTAATATCCTACATCAATAATATTAAAAAAAAAAATCTCAGTATTTATAACTTCCACTAATACTCCTTCCCATTGATACTGAAGTTCCGAGTCATTTTCCCATTTTGTCAAGCAATGGATGCATTGGAACTGTTGGAAAATGCATTGTGTACTCTGAGACAGAAATAATAATAAGAATAATAAAAATAAAAAATAACAAAAATTGCGATTTTTTTTTCTTTATTAAAATAATGTAAGTTTCTCTTCGCTAAATAAATCACATTTGAGTTTCAGATTGTATTTAGAAAAATGTAGTTCAATTAGTATGCATTTAAATTTTAGTCCTCATGGGAACTTTTCGTCCCCGATATTTCAACGTCTTGTTATTCACAGTGCTTTTGTCCAATCAGACGACAGACGCTAAATCAAAGTTCTAATGTAATTAAGCACGCTTTTATTATATCTTAATTATTGATACATTATCACTCATATTTCAATAATTTTTCTATTCCCAGCGATAATTTATGGGGCACTAGTCTTTTGAAGCCTAGTCTATACTTATGAGTTGAGCAGAAATTGCAGCGGTGTTGACAATTGACAACTCCTTCTTGGAAGGGTCCGGTAAATGGGCCTCCTGTATGTCGTTATTGTCTGGGAGAAATGGTAAAAGCCTTTATCAACAGCCAGAAACCGATGACAGTCCCAATGAAGCACCCATATCGCATTAGGGTTGGAGATGGCAGCATATGGGTGGGGAAGAAGACTCGTTAATGCTTGCTTGGCAGAGATATGTGCGTAAAGCTTTATTACAAACATCCCTCGATAGTGGACGCTGGCTATTCGACCCAAATGATGAGAGTTTCAGCTGTTTCCTTCCGGCACTGTTTGTGGAACTCATGACAATTTAAATTGGCCCATTTCTGTCGTGAAGCTGATATGTTCTAATCTAATCAGTTTGGCGTAGCTACAGCTGTTTGTTGGCGTAAATTTCTTGGTGGAATTAATGGCTCTCTAGTTGCCTGATTGGAAATGAATGACTACTTTATCACTGCTGGGGGGTGACTGGCCTCCAGTGTATTTTGCCTTCCAGACAGTCATGACTGATTGTCCATTTTAGGTAACTGACGTCTGTATGTAATTTCATTTCGATTAC